TTTTTTTTTTTTCTCTTGGGAATTATTGGAAAATAATGTTCCCTAAGAAAAAAGAGTACCTTAAATAAAGTGAGGCCTTTGATACTCCATGCGTGGCATCCTAACTCACCTGTTTGTCTGAACTAGCATTCACCTTTAGTGTACCTTCCTAGTAAACTTGCTGATCTGGCAATCTTGCTGTACCAGTTTTCCCTCATGATTTTTCTAAATATGTTTCAATCCATATTTACATTATTCTTTTGTGTGCCCTAAACAGTGAATACTGAACTGAAGAGTGGTATTTTTAAACAAGCTTCTCTTTAGGATCTAGAGTAGGACTATAGTTTAGGATTAAACAGTAAGACACTGTTGATTTTGCATACAGTGGCCTTTCTTTGCTGAAGAACTCTTCCTGATTTACAAATGACACTCAGAAAATTCCACATTTGACTTCTCAACAAACCCAGGAATTGTGAAGGCATTTTTGTTATTTGCCCCACATTTTCCAAAAAGTTGATCTCACAGAATACAAAAATGTCACCAACTGAAGCGTACAAAAGACGTGTGTGTGCTTGTATTGCACAGCTAATGATTTGGAAGCCTTTCGAGTTACCCTGCACCAGAATCTGAGTTTCAGATATTTTTCTGTGGGAACAAAGAATCTGAATGCTTGCAAATGTTTGCATAGATTTAAGTTTCTTGTGCTAACTGGACTAGAAGGATGACGTTCCTGCTGTGTACAGCAGTTGTGTATGTTCAGTTAAATTAACGTATGCCCATCAATTATATTTTAGTCTCCCAGGCTTAGAAGGTGTAGAAGGAAGTGATGTTCTGAAAATTCTGGGTGTGTTGGTTGACAAGCGTGCAGTTTTGGGCGTAAGTTAGGAAAGAGGTCATGTGTTTTGTTTTTTTTTTTTTGTTTTTTTTTTTCCTTACGTTTAATGCTCAAGAGAAACAAAAAGAAAAAACTAAACTCACTATACCGTATCTTTTCTTCTTGAGGTTGTGAGGAGATAAATGTATTCCAGCACGGAAACAGGAAAGATTGATTTGTGTTGACAATTATGGTGGTTTATGATTCTTAGTTATATTCTACCTCAACATGTAAATCTGTTACTGCTTCCACTAACTCTTGTGTAAGCTCATGAACCAGGAAGGGAGTTGACTGAAGAAAACAGGCTGGGGCTCATGCAGGATCATGTTAATAACATCTCAGATAACTTGGGTGTAGTTGTTGGAAAGAAGATGCTTTTCACAAAACAATCACGTAGAACTATGTTCTGATCTTCATAATGTATCATGACACGTTCACCTCTTGAAGAGGAACCAGTACTTGCAAACAGTTTCTTAGTTTTGTTATAGCTTTTCCAAGTTTCCTATTTTCCTTTGCTTATTGCTTCTATTGTTGCATTGACCCTGTGATCCTTTTTTGCTCTTCACCATCTGTATTTTGTCAGCAGAAAATCTATACTACCACTCTTAGTCATAATTATCACTTTTCATATTTTTTTGAAATTATACATTGTTATGTCAGAACAAATGGAGTGAAGTGGAACCAAGTTCTGTCCCATGCTTCCAAGGTGAATACAGTGGGATGTATGATGTTGCTTAAAAGTAGGTAGGTTTCCTGAGCCTTCTGCTTTTAGCAGTGGTATGTTGCTTTTGTTCTGTAGAATCATAGAATCACAAGGTTGGAAAGGACCTACAAGATCATCTAGTCCAACCATCCTCCCATTACCATTGCTACACAAGCACTAAACCACATCTCACAGCTCCTCATCCAGACACCTCTTGGACACTGCCAGGGACGGCGACTCCACCACCTCCCTGGGCAGCCATTCCAGTGCCTGACCACTCTGAGAGAAAAAGCTATTCTATAATTTCTATGTTATTCTTTTTTTTATTAGAAGTACAAATTTTATTATTGTTAATCCTATTATGTTGTTTAGTTGGACTTACAATAAGGCATGATCTTGGTATGCTTTATCTTCTTTGCTTATCCATTTGATGAATTGTATTTGTCTTCATTTTGCTAAGCCAAACAAGCAAGGCTTTCTAATTTTTTCATTACATTGCAGGCTTTTTGGTCATGTCGGTAACTCCTTTCTGTAGTGTTTCCAATTTGAACTGCTTCTGCCCAGGGAGCCAAGAAGATCAATGGCATCCTGGCTTGTATAGGAAAGTGTATAGCCAGCAGGACCAGGGAGGTGATCATCCCGCTGTATTCAGCTCTGGTGAGGCCACACTTCAACTGCCAGGTTGAGATTTGGTCCCCTCACTACAAGAAAGACATTGAGGCCCTGGAGAGTGCCCAGAGAAGGGCAACAAAGCTGTGAGGGATCTGGAGCCCCATCCAGCCTGGCCTTGAATGCTTCTATGGAGGGGGTAACCACAACCTCACTGGGCAACCTGTTCCAGTGTCTCACCCTTCTCACAGTAAAGAATTTCTTCCTAGTCTAAATCTACCCTCTTCGAATTTTAAACCATTTCTCCTTGTCCTGTCACTACATGTCCTTATAAAAAGTCTCTCCCCAGCTTTCCTGTAGGCCCCTTCTGGTACTGGAAGGCCACTGTAAGGTCCCCCTGGAGCCTTCTCTTTGAAGAAGATAATGAAGTTTCATACAACTTCATTTCATGTGCTGTTTTTCAAGACCAGTGAATCACTTCTTTGTGTGATGCTCTGTTCCTCTTTTGTTGTAGTGCCTTCTACTTCTGTCTCATCTAAATCTGCCTGCTTTTTTTCTTTTTCCCCAGCATTGTTAGAATAACATGCTTAATGTCATTTTTTAGGACCTAGTAGTCCTTTTCAGTCTAACTGTTGCACATTTGCATCATCTTGCTTTATTCTATTAGACAATTTTTCTCATATGATTATCCTCTTCTCACATTTGTTTAGCACCAGATGATTTGCCTTGTCCAGGTTCCATCTAGTTTCCTTTCCTTTCCTGTTATCAAGGAAATAACAGATTCACTTCTTAGTGTTAGGTTACTTCAGCATGCTAATCCTTACCGTATTTGTATCCTGTTTTCCTTTATATTTCATACTGTTGACTGCCTTTTCTGACCATGTTTTTTTTTTCACACTCGCCGTGCTAATAACTTATTTTTTTCCTCTTTCATCGTATGATAACACGTTTCATTTGACATTATTAAAATGTTCACTGTGGGTTTTTTTTTTTTTGCAACAGCTCTAATATTTTGATGTAGACATTATTTCAGTTCCCCAGCTTTAATGTGTTAGCTCCCTTAGCTTATACAAGGTAGCCTTTTTGTTCCTGAGTAATTGATGCTCTCCAACAGGACAATTTCCATTTCCAAACTTGTTGGAACAGATGAAAGGTGCTGTCAGTTTTGTGCTATTTCAGCGCATAAATGTAATTTCCATGGAGGAGTTACAGGAGTGGTTCAAGTTTGATATTATGGTATGGCAGTCTATACAAATTAAGATCATTATTGAACATGCCTAATGTTCAAGAAGTTTATACATGGAAGAAGATTTGAAGTACACCATTGGGAAAGGAAAAAAAATTAAGATATTTCTGTGAGGTTGGAATAATTTTCAAATACAACAGCAAAGTAGGCAGGAGATGCTTTTTGCTCGCTGTTCTGCAGACACTTTAAAACCAGTCTTGAATGGTTAATTATACTGAAAGTGACTCCTTGTGAGAGCTTGAGAAACTATTGGTTTTATTTCATACTTCCTTGCCTGAAATGGTTATGAAGAAGTGGAGATAGAAGAAATCAACGCTGAGCACTGGAGTACTTTTGAGAAGTGAAGCTATCTGCAATAGCAAGGAGCTGCAGCGTCCAAAGATCTGAGTCTCTTGACTTTGGTTAGGAATCTCTGTAAAACTTCCTCCAAGTCCTTCAGCTTTCTCCTCGACTTGCTTACTATTTTATTTTAATTTTTTTTTTGGCCCCAGCTTTTACCACAAATAGAAGAGGGGAGCAGTCTCTTCTGCTTTTTCACGCCTTCTTGGGATCCTTCTCAGAGTGAGCAATAGCAGTTCGTGCGTCTGCTTTTGCTCATTGCTTTTCGTAGCAATCTAATGAATTATCAGAATTCTTAGCAGACTTTTTGCTGCCCCAACCCCGGGTTTCTACTGAATAACTACCCAGAATCCCTGGTCATGTTTTGCTGAACCTTTGAGTATGCAGCAGTACGTCATTGATTTGTACTGGGTTAATGTTTGGAGAGTAGCAGTAGACACGAAAGGAATTTTAGGACAGCAGGTGGGTGAAATTTCTCTTTCATAGTTTTCTTTGCCACAGCAGAGATGCAGCTCAATACAGAGAAATACAAGTTGAATCTGAAAATACTGGATTTGTTATGCAAATAAGTGCTTTCATTTCTGTATTCTTTGGAATCATTTTCATGACAAATAACATTTGCAGCAAGCTGAGTGCCAGCTTGTAAGCTCTGGAATTCCTGGTTAACTTACCATGTGAATAACTACATTAAATATCTGGAGTATATTATCTAAATGACATTGGTGTATGTGTCAGGAACTCTCAATCTTCTAGGAAGGACAGCTTGGAGGGCCAGGTATTTAATGCACGCTGATCAGATTGTTTTGTTGAGCCTTCTCTTCTCCAGCCTGAATTCCCTAGCTCTGTCAGTCTTTCTGTGACTGACTGCTCCAATCTAGGATGCATTTCAGTGTATTTTGTACTGAGGAGCCTAGACCAGTACTCCATATATTCCACCAGGGCTAAGTAGAATGAAAGGATACCTTTGCTCAGTGTGCTGGGCTGCTCTCCTCCTCGATCAGCCAGGCTTGGTCTTGCTCTTCCTTGCTGCAAGGGCACATTGCTGGTGTGTGTTCTTGCCATCCCACAGTTTGTCTACCAGCACCCTTTGACCGAGACACTGGTCAGACAAGTCAGTACTGGTGCATGGTGTAATTCTTCCAAAGGTGCATTTGCCATTGAACTTTGTAGAATTCTTGTTTGCCCTTCTCCAATTTGTTGAGGTGTCCAGGGAATACCAGGACACCCATGTGATGCAACAGCCCCTCCTGTATTCACAATGTACTGAACTGTTGCCTGACTTTTCTTCTGTAGACACACTGTTTATTCTCTTCAGTGCCTTCTGTGCTGAGGCAGAACTTGCTCTCTTTATCTCCCCACTACAGCTGCATGGGTGTTGTCTGTAGTAGTAGAAGTGTAACAGGCTCCTGAGGTAACCGTGGCTTGATGATCAAGGGCTTTTAAAAACCTTAAAGAAACATTTTCTTTGCAAAGCAATGGAGATTCTAGACTATGGTAAGCTGGTGGGGATATATTTAGCAAAAAAAAAACCAAGTCAACAAACCAATAGCAACAAAAACCAATCCAAACCAGGAAGCACCAGTTTCAAAACAGCCTTTAGTGTTCATGACATTGCAAGCTTTGTGTCATCATATTCTTTTTAATAGCCTTTTTAATAATGTAAATGTAACTAGTGCTGACTTAAGAAATTGCAATAGTGACTAAAAACATTGCCTCGTGTATTTTCAGACGCTCCTATTGCAAAAGCTGCTGTTGAAAAGAAATAATTTTTTTATAAGAAGAGAATGGGTAAGTGTTGTTCTTAGATTTTCGTTGCTGTTTCTCATGTGAAACATTTTAGCTCTTGTTAGAGGGGTTGGACTATAAGACTCTAAATGTTGACCTTGTAGCTTTTTTATGTGTGTTTTTTTTAATTGTAGCCTGAAAACTTTGTGGAACTTCCAGCTAATGTAGTTTTTAGAGGATTTTTTTGTGTGAATGTTGTTTATTGAGATGAGTATCTGTCTAACAGTAAAATGTAATTAATATGCCAAATGATGAAAATGTACGTGCGAAAATAGGATGCCTTTAGGTTTTATAGCACAAAACTTTTAGATAGGGGACAAGAAAATTTCCCTATATACCTGCTGAAATTTCTCATTATATTGTTTGCAAAGGTCAATCTGTTTAATTCTGGCTAAGAGGTCATAATAGGGACTGACTGTTAAATTACTGTATGTGTGTGAAACACGGCTAATTGAACTTTTCATATCTCTCTCACTACAAATGATGGTTAATGAAACAAGGTTGGAAAGATTCTGGTGCTAGCTATACTTTTTCTGAAAGTATTTTAGCATCTTTGGCACTGATGGCAAGTTATTAAAATTGTCAGTAACTATATAGAGGATTATTTTTCTAGAAGGATATAAGTATTATCTGATTTTCCAAGCTGTTAGAACTTTAAAGACTTCCAGTTTTACCTTACTGCCAAAATGAATACTGTCCTGAATATTTAATCTTATGTGCAGTATCAAACTCAAGTATTAATTTCTAATAGAAATGAAGCAGTACTTGGTGTAATGGATCTGTACTCCTTTAGAAAATACGGTATTTGAAATACAACATTAACTTTCCAATTTGAATATGTTAGAAATTATATATTTATTGAGTTGGGCCTTTCTTTGCACTTTAAACCTTCCTTCCCCTTTTGTTTAAAGTTATGATGATCTTTATTACAGTTTACAGGTGTGCATGAAGACCATCTCCAAAGTCATCTTGGTGCTGAGCATGATGTGGATACAGATTAGTCAGTGGTTCCTACCCCAAAGTGCATGTTGTCAAAGCAGATACATAGTAAGACAAAAGAGAGGAGAGAGACAGGAAAAGCATAGTCAAAACTTATGGGGAGACTTCACAAACTCATTAGGTTTTTTTTGCTTTCTCACCGAAGTCACAACACGAGTATGCACTAATTTTCTTAGTCTGACTGGCAATGAGCAAGGAATTAATTCAATTTCAATTTTCCAGCACAAAAATACGTGCTTTGACTGCTTTCATTCCTACTGTGCTTCAAAAAGCATTTTTTCTCTTACAGTCTGTATTTTGAAATAGATATGTGTTTAGATGACTTGTAAGTTATAAGTACCACTGTCCCAGATGTGGCAATCTTTTTGTGAATGGAACAAGTAGCATGTTCTTAAAATGAGTAAATTATTTTCACTTGAGAATTCACCTGGAGGAAATTTTTTTTCCTACACAGATTGCTGACATCATGTCAGAATTTGGTGATGGAGAGAAGGGAGATGTTAATCAAAATAGATGCATTTTTCTAAAAATTCCTCTTCTGAAATAGGTTACCACACTTTTCAGAGAAGTCTTGAAATATGCAAATATTTACCTTATGTGGTGGTCTGCAGTGGTTCTTCTGTCTGCAAACAGTCACAGGAAGGACTGAAGCTTGCATTCTTGGTAATTGGAATCAGTCATTGTCTACTGAAACTGTTGTTTTCCTTCACAGATGGAGAAGAGAAAACATACGGTGGGTGTGAGGGCCCAGATGCAATGTATGTGAAGTTAATATCTTCTGATGGCCATGAGTTCATTGTAAAAAGAGAGCATGCATTAACATCAGGAACAATAAAAGCTATGTTGAGTGGACCAGGTAAGTATAACAGATGTAATACCTTCATGTCCTTCTCTTTCTCTGTTGGATTATTTGAATTTCTATCATATAGTGAGCAAATAATAACTTGTTCAGATCTTTACTAATTCCATTTCCATTGGAACTGTCCACCTCTGTGGAGTATTGTATATCATACAATTGAACTCCATAAGTTTCTGGATGGCTAGTAATTTTATGATGTTATTATTACCATTTTCCTCTGTTAAACGTAATTGAGGTCATTATATGAAGCTTGCAGCTGTCAAATTCAAGACAAGTGACTCTGTTGCTCCTCCATGGTAGAATTTGAAGTATTCACAAAGTCTTTATGGCAGGAGTACTTGAGCTTAATGGCACAAGTTAGTGTAAGTTTGAAGAACATATAAATTGACTGAAGGAAAACCCTTCACGTGTTACTAGGTATGTGAGACTACTTCTGTTTTAAGAAGTGTTTGAACTAATTGTTGAACCATGAAAGGGTGGAGAAGAGAATGAGAAATTGACTTGCATGTTTTCCTTCTTCTCTGCCCTTGTCCCATACAATTACTTCTGGCCAGTCGAGTAGCAGTAGGCTGTATCGACCTCTGATCAAATATGGTCATTCTTTTTGATTCTGATGAATGGAATTGCTGGCAACATCTATTTGCTGAATATACTTTCAAATTATTCAATAATAGTGGGCAAATTAATTAATTAAAATTCTCAGATAAAATATGAATGTGAAAATACATTGCAGATCCGTTGTCTAATTCACTCCGTATCTGCCTCTGAGGTGTGCAAGAAGAGTAGTTACAAAACCGGATTGTTCCAAATTTGTCCTGTGATCTGTAACAATATGAAGAAATAAAAGGCAAAGAGGGCTAGAAAAGAGACTCTGTAAAGGAGTCAGCACTTAAGCGTGTTTTACATAAACATTTGTAAGATAAACAAGTTTGCAAGTAAAATTATTCTTACTGTCTACAGGCCGTAGTTTCACTGATGTGTAAGCGTTCTCTATTTCAGTATTGTGACGTTGTCAATATGCTAACAGTTGTGTTGCTTCCTACTGTTTCCATTATAGCTTTAAGGCAGATTGGCTTCAGTATGTGTATTCAGATATTTCTACATAAATACATGGAGACATTAGTAAATAGCTCTGCTTTGTGGTTATTATGAAAGGGATCCCTACAGAGATGTCCCTATAGAGATAACTACATGACTGCTAGGTCACCTATAAATATGGAGTATATGTTAGTGGGCTTTGTATTGTCTTTCAGCTTAATAAGCTTAAAGTTGAGAGATAAAAACAGTGACAAATTTAACATTAGAGGAAGGCTGTGGGACTAACGACAGGATTTCGTATCCTCTGTTTCATGCTTAGAGGGCACAGAAGAAGGGTTCAAATATACTTGTGTTTTGAGATTTGAGCTTTGGATAAAATGTTCAAATCTAACAGGGATAAACTCTCACAGCATGCAGTGTTTCCTGCAGTACAACTAGGGTTTTCTTCTTGCTCCTGCATGCCTTTTTTTTCCACAGCTTATCAAGTTAGTGTATCTTTAAGGCTTTAACCCTCTGTCAAATCTGCTAGAAACCATCCAAGAAATTCAGTGGTAGTGGGAGGAGACAGAACTGATGAGTGTGCATATGCAAATATGGAACATATGTAAAACATTTTCTTTTCTTGAGAAAGCTAGCTAAAAATTTGGATGTATATCTCCTTTTCTAAATGGTAGTGTGAGCTTTTAGTGCTGAGCACGCTACAGTTTTAGAGAACCTCTTGAAAGCAAACATCAGAATTACACCTATATTTCTGGTGCACTGGTTCAGAATATTAATATGTTGCAGCCTAAATGAACAGACATTTTCTAATGCAAGGGATCCTCTTATTTGTGAGGATTATGAATGTGAAGTGCTCTGCTTTGCACTGAAGAATGTAGCAGCTAGGAATATGGAACCTAGCAAGTCTGTTTGGAATATACTGTATTATTGTAGTAAAGTGTTTCATTTTGTGGTGAATTGAGATTCTGATTTTTTTGTTTGTTTGTTTTCCCACAGGACAGTTTGCAGAAAATGAAACAAACGAGGTGAATTTTAGAGAGATCCCATCCCATGTCCTATCCAAAGTATGCATGTATTTCACCTACAAGGTCCGCTATACTAACAGCTCTACGGAGATTCCTGAATTCCCAATTGCACCTGAAATTGCACTGGAACTTCTGATGGCTGCAAACTTCTTAGATTGTTAAATAAAATAAATTATAATAAAAATGTAAAACTTTTTTCAGTATTTAATACATGTAGTTAAGTTAGTAACTTTTTTCAGATAGCATGTTGCGTGTGTGCTGTTGAGAACTGTTAAGTTCACTGCAGAGGCAATTGTCTTCAGTCCTTTTGCATATAGCAATCATTCAGTTGAGATTTGTTTTGCTGCTTACACAATAAGGACCTTTTCACAACTGAGACAAATAAACAAATATGCCAATTAGTAGATGGCTATGCCTTATCCTTTAGGTGTGGTAGAATTTTCTTTTAAGACAATGACTGTGTAAAATACTGGAGTTTAGCCTAATGCTCTCTAAAAGGTAATTATAGTTAAATATAAGTAGCTGTTTAGGGTTTCTAACTTTCTCTTGTTGTTAAAGTTTCTAAACATCTGAACTTAATCTCCTTTATAAGGTGGCTGTTCTTTAGAATACTTATACTAACTAGATTAGAAGTGACCTCTCTATAAGGTTTGTATACTGACAGCAATATTCCATTTAAGTTGGAAGCAGAGTGTAGGAAAATGTTTAAGGCTTTTAATTTAATCATCATTTAGACAAGTGAAGAAGTGTACTTGATGCATTTTTCCTTTCTAACCTGAATTTTCTCCTTCAGTGATTACAACTATTCAAGTCACTAGTCGGTACAGTAACACTGTGATCGTACTGACAGTGGCTTTTAATCTCTGTATATTCTGTGTAACATATAAAGTTGTTGTTAATGTTCTGTCACTTGACCTGATATGGATTCTATATAGTTTCAGTTATGCTTTATTTCCATTGTTGTGGTGGATTACGTACTGTATTTAATCTTTAGATTAGCAGTCATTCCAGTTTTCTAAAATAGCAACTGAAATGATAGCAGTTATCCCATTCTTTACCTCTTCCCTGACCTCTCCCTTAAATCCACAGAAAAAAACCCTAAATGTGGAGGCCTTGTATTGGATGGAAAGGGCATTAAGGAGATGTTTAAGGAGCTTTTTTAAATAAATGTAATATAGTTACTTCCAATGTTTTTACAAATATTTTAGAGGAAAAGGATTGGCAAGCCACTCACAAACTAGAGTGAAGCACATTAGCTCTTATTAATTCCTGCTTCTAATTGCCTATACTTAGTTTTAAACAAATTTCCATGAAGCAAAAAAGGAGAAAAAAAAAGAAAAATTAAACTGAGATGAAGTTGCTTCTTGTTCAGTCACGGCCTGAAGAACCCTTCTGCCAAAGTAAAATGTAAATGAGCATGTGTCATGAAGAGCAATGCAAGAACAATGTAGTTAGCATTTCCATCAGCTGTCTCTGATTCACATTTTTGATTAAGAAATGATTGTGGTCTTTTATGGAAAAGTCCCACTAACATATGCTGGGATCTCTTCTTTAATATGTTAACTAAGGGTGAAACTCTTGTCTAAGCCTGATTGCCAACATAAATACAACCTTTGAGGTTTTCCAGACAAAAAATGGTAACTTGCATAGACTATGCAATCTGCCTATGGAGGAGTTCAGTTCTAATAAATCAACTTACTCTGGACTTGAGCAATGCTTGATAGACAAGCTGACATACGTCAGCATGTTGATAGATGAGCTGACGTTAATTCACATCACATACTTTGGCACAATTTATCGTGTTTAGTGTGGGGATGTTCATGATTAGATTGGTTTTGCATGATAAAGCTGAAGTGTGTTGCAAGGTGATTGTCTGAAATCCTATGTCTGAGCACTATGGTCAGTGCTATTAGTAACTCATTTGCAAGAGCACTAAAAAGAACACAAAACAGAAATATGTTGTTATACTGCTTTTGTTAGCACCAGTAGGAATATACCCTAGAAGTTGAAGAAGTACTGACATAGATGTTTAAGTTCCAACTACATTGTAGGCTGAGAGTCTTAAGTTCTTCAGCCATTTTTAATAGTCCTGAAGTCAGTAACTTGAAGCTCAGACTGTTTAGTTCAAAGTGGAAGTAAAAATAATGTCATTAAAAAATAATAATAATTTTTTTAAGCATTCCAAAACGACCTCCTCTTGAAAATACATTGCGTTTTATGATTCCATGCTTCAGCAGCAAGATAAAATACCTGTTTTATTTTTGAATTATAATTTCATTGTTTTTCCTTCAGCTTGACGTATCATACAGTAGCTTTGAACACTCAGGAAATGCAGTAGTGTCCTAGAACACACTATTTGCAAAACCACTGGCTGTTAAGAAAACTAACCTGCAGATTTCTAATGGGGAGGGGGGCAGAGGGAATTAGTGCAATTTATTTGGTAGCAACATGGGTATGCTATTAACAGACATTGGAAAATTACCACACTTAACCCCTGAGTTCTAAATAAATTTCAAAATTGAAAATTTTTAAAACTGTGTTTTTGTGGATTTGTGACTTACGTAGAATTTTCATGAATGCGTGATGAATAAGTTGCTAGTATTCGTGCTAGCATTTGAGTTACAGGTTTTGAAACATGTATAATAATAATTTTTTTCTCCTAGTTCTGAAGAGTTTTGTTGATTTAGTCAGTGTTCAGATACCTTCGTGCTCCTAACTGCAACAACTCACAGTTCTTAAAAGAAAAGGCCGAATACTGAGAGAGGATGGCATTTGTTTTTGCCTTAAGAGGATATTTTAAGGTTCCATGTCCTATAATACTGAATTCCCTTTTGCTTAGTCTGATAGTATCTGATTTTTTTTGTGATTTTATCTGATTTGTATCTGATTCAAATTTTAAACATTGGCCATGAAAAGTTATAAATTCTGTTTCAAATGCTGGATTATGAGTTTTTTCGAGGGAGGGTTTGCAGTGCCTTCGAAGGAATTTCCCAACACTTATCTAAATCTTGTTGATTTATATCATAAACCACAAGAAAATTATAGGCATAGTAAATTTTTTCAGTCCACGTTTTATGACAACTTAGATTTGTTTTTAAATTTTGTCTCAAGTGTTGCATTGTAATTTAAGAGTACCAGCTACTGCAGGGTCGACAAAATCACAGTAGTGTATAGGAATCAGTGAGAAACAGCTAATTTGTCCTAGCTGAAACTCAAAGTGGAGACTGAGGTGCAAGCTTAGTTTCAATCTGAACAACCGAAAAAATAGCAGGAAGACTTTTTTTTTTAAGGTTGGGTAGATTTAGATATTAAACTATCATGCTGTTTTTAAAGTACTGATAGTCCAAAGCTTTGAAATCAGAAGAAAAAGCATATAGTGTTGGTTTTTTTCCCCATAGAAAATGTTCAACTTCTAAGGTTTTGTTTGTTTGTTTGTTTTTACAATAAACTGAAACTGGATTTCTTTTTAAATATAGCTCATTAAGTGGTGATGTGATGGAACATATCAACAGTGTGACCTTGATGTGTTGCACAATTGGAAGAGTCAAACAAGCAGTAGATGTGGTGATTTTTAGTCATTTATGAAGCTCTTTTGAGTGTTGGCAGTAGGGCAGCACTGAGAGAACGGTGACTTTTTATAAGTTCAAGTTTTTAAAAGTGTTATATGCAATGAAATAAAGTTTTGAGCATGTTACTTCTACAAACGTAGGTTATGGTGCAACCTCTTCTCTATGGGAGGTCACTGAGATTAAAAAACAAAAACAAAAACATTCTGTCATTGCCATGTTACTGTTTTATGTTTACAGAAAAGAGGATTTTCCTCCCACGCTATATGGGTGGAGAACTTAGGACATAGGAAAGGTCAAAATTACTCTGACAAATGGAGTACTTCGTCCCTTTCTCCTCCTGAACATGACATTAGTCATGTAATGATTTGTAGCCTCGCTTGTTGAGTGTAGAATTGGAAAATTAAAATTGCCCTTAAAGTATGTGCAGCTTTTTAGACTGGTGAAAGTAACAACTTACGAGTTTCCGGATAATAAACTAAAATCCTGATGAAGAAGTTGCTGGTTCTTGGGATGGTGCTGTGCAATGAGTTCTGGGGGAACGTAGACAGTTTTGGTGATTTAATGGTACTCCATATTTATTGCCTTTTTTTTTTTTTTAAGTTATAAATACAATGAATTCTTTCAGTATTAATTTTTAATTAAAAACTGACTTTTTAGATAAGAATTCACAGCTAAACTTTTTCTTTGCATTAAAAAAATACAACAGATACCCAATTACACTTAATAATAGAAAATAGTAGAAAACTTTCAAAATGTCTGCTACTTGAAGCAATAAGTTATCTATGTTTTTTGTCTTTGGTTGCTATAAATTCTTGTTATTTTGCTTGGTAGAAAAAAAAAGTATTTGTTAGACTGTTTATTTCTCTTGCAGAAATAGTTCTTGGCTTTTTTTCGTATCACTGAGACTGAAAAATACCTGGGATTTATTTGCATTTGGCATAAAGGACTTCATTTAGCTTTTTATATAGGGGAAAGCTTTTTTGCATTACTGTAGTAGACTGCATGTATAATGTTTTTCAGAAGTGAGACTCCATGTCAGTCAGAATTATTTCTAGTCAATTACTTGAAACGTATAAATGATCTCTCCATTATACACTATCATTTAAACTCTTCAGGTAGTCACAGAGCACTTCAATTATGAAAACTACTTATTTTAGGAGAACTGTTTGAAGGTATTCAGCTGAAATAGTCAAGTAACTACTCATCCTTTTTATTTTCTTAACATAGGTAATACTTTGTTTCAGGGCAGACGTACTGTGTAAGAAGTCTTGTCTTAAGGGTGTTAAAAAGCAAACAGAAAGAACCTCTAACCAGCAGGCTGTGTCAGTGATGTCTCGCTGTACTGCAAGCCTGCAAACAGAATTTTGTAAGCTGTGGTGGCCAGCAAAGATAGTGCTCAGTTTGATGTGCACACCTGGAGGGTTCGTTTTTCATCTTTGAGGAGATGTGATGGCTTACTGCACAGCTGTGTAAGTCACCTGAGAAGTCACTTTAGCAGTTTCATCCTGGTTCTAGATTTGCATGACCAAACAGCAACATAGATTGAAAATCCCTTATCAGTATTTATCTTCTTCATTGATGTTAAGTATGAGTCACTTCTGTTTATAACAAAATCTATTCAAATACCCCTTGGGCTTACCTGGGAAGCTTTCAATTCACAGCCTTAATAAAGATAAAAATAGCAATAAAATAACACAAAAAACCTAAGCAATATTTATATTTAAATCTTAAATGTATTTCTTATCACTGAGTAGAGTCTGAGCTCATGTATGTGATAGATGCAGTAATCATCCTGCTTACCAAGAGCTCTGGAAAATGATGCTTTTATGTGGAAGAACATTTAATAATTACATCATGTCACACTATTTAATCTGTTTAATCAATTATGGGTCCTATGCTGTCCTCATTATTTAAGTTTCATAGCTATGTGTATTTTAAAATATATAAGTTTACAGGATTTCTAAGATTCAGAAGAGTACTGGTGCCAAAAGCATGATTTGACAATTGTTAATTACAGTATACTGCTGAAACAGACAGTTCCCCTCCTTTCCCTGGCCTTGTGTCCTTCCCTTGCAGTAATTACAACAACTGTGTGTTCTCAGAATAGGACAGATTCTTTTTCTGATCTGATGGAAAATGATTATGTGTGATGAAGCCTTGCTCTCCTGGAAGTGGCTGAACATCTGCACGACAGTGGGAATTAGGAATGAATTCCTGATTTAGCTTTGCTTGTACATGCAGTTTTTGCTTTACCTATTAAACTATCTTTTATTGAATCCGTGACTTCTCACCTTTCTGATTGTCTTCCACATCCCATTGAGGGGAAGTGAGTGAGTAGCTGTGCAGCACTTATCTGCCTGTCATAACAGGAGTTCAGTCTTCCAGTGGTTAAGCTGAAAGGTACAGATAGTCCAGTAGCTGCAAAATGGCTAAATTCTACACAGCAGAAGAAAGGGAAACATGACATTTTAGAACAGGCTCTCCCTCTTCTGAAGATGCTGCATTTGCAGCAAGTTAGGAATAAGGTAAAAACTTTCCCTTTGCCTGCATTTGCTCCTTTGAAAGACCTGAGACAGAAGTGGTAAATGTGCCCCTTAGTATTCTCAGCTAAGATAAAAATGGAAGAAGCAATTGATGAAAATAAGTAAAGAATAAAACAGCAATATGATTTCAAAGGTAAAAGACATCTTGAAAATAGCCTTAAAAAAAAATCATTTTTAGCTATGTATGCAGTTCATTTGTATTCTTGATATACTTTTGTTTCGGTTTGATTCTACGGCTTTTGCTAGTATGACACAGACAGTGCTTTCTGCAGGTGCGTCAAGCTTGTGTTTATCAGAAGATCTCTGTTCCAGAGGCGTTTTAAGCTCAGTGCCCACGAGCTTGGCAGTGGAAGAAGTTGGCACGATTCCTCCGAGGTATGTAGTCCTCTGTGCTCCTGAGATGTAGTCGCCTGGCACAGCAGATTATGGTTGCTATGTCACTGGAGCTGCAAAGGGAGGTTGATGTCAATGCGCAGCTAACTTCTGTGGGAGAAAGAGATAAGATGGAAGGCTAAAACGCACAGTGCGCTCAGACAAAAGAAACCAAGTATGTGTTGTTATAGTGGAGGAAGAATGATATAGGGAAAAGGGGAAAGCAGAGGAATAAATATCGGTAACAATAATGGAGGGAATGGAATGTAAAGAACTCTGATCAATAAAAATAGCTAACCTTTGTAAAACTGGTTAGATAGGTCAGAAAATTACCTGAGAAATGAGGACTGAATATCGATTGCCATTTTTTTTCTGCGAACACAAGGTAATGCAAACTACATAGAAAAGTGGATTTTTAAATCTAATTCATGAATATTTTCAGATACATTTTTAGTAGGAGGTATAGTTGCAATTTTCATGATTTGCAATACATATATTACTTGTGTGAGTCACCATCATGCATTTGATCAGACCAGAGCAAAATACATCCTGAAATAATGAATATCGCATTAAACTCCTCTTACCTCTACAGGTTTCTGTGTTTGTGATCTAGGATCACAATATAGGAAGCTTCTGGCAAAAAACAAAGTTGGCTGATGCAGGATGAGGCTGCACTAGCCCTCATACTTTCTTTCACACAACCAACCACAAATCTTTCAGTTCCTGCACTGACTATCTCTGCAGCTGCAACAGAGTACGGGTTAACTGCACAAGTGTTTTCTCTCATATTTTGTATAAGTAAGGGTCAACAACAAAATGAACAGTAAATTACACTATAACCAACACCATGTGAAATCTACCCACATTAGGATTTGGGGCTTTTTGGAGTTTAGATTACTGAGTAACTTTGAACAAAGAATTATATGAGCCATCACAAAGCTGGGGACAAAACTGAAAGGAAGAAAATACTTGTATTCATTAAACTTTTCCTGAAAGTCTGCTAATAATATTTTTTTTCTTGCTGTGCTCAAATTCCTATAGCATTATGCACTGTACAAACATTTATTAATAATACTGCATCCAATTCAGGTTACTGATGTATTGGCAGGGGATAATTCTCCAGCTGCCCCTATTGCAGTGATAATGATGAAGGAAAGAGATTGCACAAATGTATCAGTCAATCGCATGACACTTGGAAAAAAACAAAGATGGGTAGTGTAAAATAGACCTTTTGTGTAAGAGCAAACTAGAAGTTTATGGATGGTTTGGATTCTTCTAGTCACAAGTTTCAGTTGTAGAGTAACTGTATGGTTTCATAAGCATTTGGTTAAGATAGGGTGGGAAATAGCCCATCTCTGCTTTATAATTTCTGTGAAGGGCAGATCCTGAACCTTGCTTCTCATTTTTGTTATCCTGAGGAATGAGATTTGCTGCTAGATTAAATAACTTCAGTAAACAATATTTTAGCTTAAAATGCAGGAGGTGTCTTTATTTTTAACATCGAAAAGCTTTGGTGATTTAAAAAAAAAAAAAAAAAAAAAAAAACACAAAACTTTGAACTTAAAGATGGTTAAAAGGTCTGATCTTTTGCTAAAGCCACTTCTTGCCCAGAGATTATCTATCTTTATTACAAGCTGAAGACATATTTCTATTGATTACAGTTGTTACATACACTTTTATGCCTCTTCATAACTTCTGTCCTTGATCAGTGTTTTCTAGAACAAGATTAAGAAACTGAATATAATGGATTCAAATCAGTTTTGTCTCCCTGTGATTATATGAACAAGAATAGTCAATATGTCAATGTTTATAGCTGAACACATGTCCATTGCTTAAACTTGATGCTCTTGCTATCTTTGTAGCATATGGCATTAAGAAATGTATTTTAGGATAAACATATGCTTGAATCATGCAAAAATAACAACATCTAGTAAAACATTTTCAGCAACAGCAATGTTCTGCTTAATATTGTTACTGCCCAAGACAGTTATGAAGAACTGTGAGGGAAAAAAAAACCTTCTATGTCTACTGAATGCAATAAATTCTCTGCGATCTAAAACATATCGAGAGATCACATCAGCACATACCAGCAGTAGCTTCTAAGAAAGCACAATGCTGTGTTTTTTGACACTTCAATGTCACTTAAATGAAGGCAGTAGAGCAATGCCAGCTTGCAGGGCTTCAGGGGCCTATTGTGTATGACTAAGAATTGAGGTTGGATTTAGAGGGCAAAACGTATAGGATTCAGCTGACATGGTAATACTACTTCTATCCTTACTTCCATTGGGATGGTTACATTTCCTACTCAAATCCACATATATTCATTTCTGTCATCAGCACGTTCCTCCAAAGCCCATAGGCTCATTCCTTTCTGCAGCTAGCTCATGGAGCAATGATACTCCTCTGGCCTTCTGTTGGTCCTTTTATGCAGAACACTAGAGTTTGCACGCTTGCTTTACCAATGGTAACACTGCTGACACTGAAACAATTTGGAATCTGATGCCACATTGTGCTGAACTTCTGTTTTTCTCCAGATAGCCATTCTCAAAGTTGAGGAGACATAAAAACATGCCAGAAGGTAACACGTGCAGCTGGAAGCAATGCCTTGGGTCACATCAAATAATGTGATTACAGAAAGTAAGCAGGCTCTCATATGTCTCAGATCCATCTTTAGTCCTAAACTTGGTAAATTTCAAAGGCAAATATGAAGAGAGAACTATTGTTCAGCCATTTAATTGGATCTGCACTCATTTGGCCACTTTCGAAAGGAAAATCAGGTGCTGCCTGTGGTGGAGGGGTGCCCCAAAAGGGTTCTTTGCATCATCACAAAGTACAGTTCTGAGTGGACTCAGCCTCTGGAACATACAGCTAGGTTAGCAGGGAGACAGAGGCTGTAGCTATAAAGCCAGCATCTCTACTAAGTCTTTATGTTTGTGTGCTAACATTAGGAATTCCACGGGGTTGTCTTCAAAAGAAGGACTGTGTATGTTTATTTTGAGAACCACATAGGTGTGAAACACTCAGGTGGAAGTAATGGCTGTAGAAGGTGTTTCCACAGAGCGCTTGCTTTTTGGGCTGCGCGCAGGCTGACTGCGGTGCTTGTTTGTTTTCACCTACACAGCCACCGCAAAGGCACAACAGCTCACTCCAGGAAATGAAAACAATCCAGAAATGCTCCCACGTGAAACACGCCCTTGCTAGTTCGGGCACGTCTGTCCCTGCAACGTCAGGGGAAGAACGAAAAAAGCAAACAAAAAAAAAACCCCCAAAAAACCAAAGGCAGTAGTGCTGCACGGGAGGTAAAGAGCAGCTTCTTCCTCCGCTAGGAACAACGTCAGCACAACAGCACAAGCGGAGCGGCGCCCGGCGTTAACGCGATCCCACCGGCCGTTTGCAGCTAACCCGCCTCAGGCGGAAGCGCTACCCGCAGCCGCACGTCCCCGCTCAACCGGCGTTTCCCAACGGCCCCGCACAGCCCGGCAGCCCGACGGGACCCTGCTGGACGGGCCAGCCGGCTGCAAGCGGGGCGCGCCGGCTCTTCACCCCTCCCACGCGGTGAGGGCAACAAGACCAAGGACAAAACCCGCCCGCCCGCCGCGCCACTCAGCCTTGGCGTCCGCCCGCACCGCCTCCCCCCGGCGCATGCGCGGCTCTGCGGCCACGTGACCGCCGAAGGCGGGGAGGGAGACGGGCGCGCGGCGCTGCGTCTGTGAGGGTGCGGGCTGGCGGCGCGGTGGGAGGGGGAGGATCCAACATGGCGTCCATGCAGGTGAGCAGCCTGCGGCGAGGCCGGCTGCGGGTCCGGGAGCCGGGGCGAGCCGTTCTTCGAGCGGCGGGAGCGTTCCCGGGGGAGTCGTGCGGGCGGTCGAGGGGAGCGGCCGGTCCGACGGGATCGCTTGAGGAGCAAGAGGAGTCCGGCAGGGCTGGGGCGAGCTGAGGGGCGAGGCTGGGCCCCGGCTGTGGAGAGAGGAGTAAAGCGGGAGGACAGTGGCCTTGTGGGGGAGGTGAGGGGAGCAGGGCTTAGGAGTGAGCTGCGTTGGCCCAGCGGGCATGGCCTCGATCCGGAAAGTCCTCGGAGGGGAGGGGAGAGAATAGAGGGGAGGCCCCGACACCGCTCCTGTCCCTTGGTGGGGTTTGGGGAGCCGGGCGGTTTGCTGGGCGCGAGGGGGATGCACGGGAGTCCCATGGAGACCCCGTCAGGTCGGTGGCAAGGACGTGGGCAGTGGCTCCGTCTGTCTGGGGCTGTAACTGTCGCCGATGGGGGCCGCGACAGGCGGGCTCGAATCCGCGTGGCCCCGTTGTCCTCTCTGTGTAAAACGAGATCGTGATGCAGCTTCGGTCCTGCGGGCGGCCGGCGTCTGGTTTAGCTTAGATGGATGGATGGGGCTGCTGGAGGTACGGTGGCGTGAACCCTGCTGCTTGACAGGTCTTTCCAGCTGAATTATTTATTCGTACCTGCTCCGAAGGAGTGAGTCTTAAATAGTAGCTGCAGAAATTGCTCTGCGAGAATGGATCGCTTTCACTGCGTGCTGTTCAGAGTGGATGGGGATTTATTGTGACGTGCCCAGGACAAAGGATCGCTGGGTTTGGTGGCTGTACTCTCTGTCTTTTCTTACCTCACCTGTAACTGCTCTGCTTTACCTTATTTTTTTTCCATGTTGTTTTTAAATGAAGATGATTAAGTGCTTCTGTTTTCTTTCTCCAGTTTCTTTTCTTGTTTTCATTCTGGTATTTTTTTTTTGTCGTTACTAACAACCATGGAGTGTAGAAATAATCAGATTAATTGTCCTGATAGCCCAGCTTTAGCATTAGCGAGAGTTAAAATGTCAGAACAGTAAACCTTTTGGGGTAAAAATTCTACTGGTGATGTTTAGTGCCATAAAAATAACTGTGTGTCTTTCTGAGTTATTGAAATGAAATGGGATCAAGAGCTCAAACGCACTTGAACATACTGTACAGAATGTTCTTGATTTAGCAGTACTTTAGGCAGATAGTCTGATGCGTCTTTGATTTATCAGCTTAGTCTGGCAGATGCGTTTTTGTAATGCTTTTTTTAATGGTCGAACTTCACAAGCTCAAGTGAAGAATTAAGGCAGTCATTCATGAAGCAGAACCTTTTATGAAGCAATGTGGGGTGAAAAACAACATAAGGAAGTGACAGTTCTGAAACACGAAGAGGGAGGCACTCTATGGGCCTCTGTAAGCCTGGGCTGTGCTGCTGTGTTTGGCTTATAAAATGACCTCCAGCTTGCCTCACCCTTGTTCCTTTTGATCCCTTTCGAAAAAGAGAAATAGTGATTACAAAAAGTGAGGCTGTTTAGGATACAGGAATGACAAATATTGTCTCAAAGATCGGTTGTGTAGAGGTTGTACTCTCCTCCTGTAAACATGGCTATATTAGGTCTAATGTTGTAATTACTTGCATTTTGGATGTAGTTGCTGTAAGATTATACTTTACATTTTGTTCTTTTGTCTTTTGATGAGGTAAATTTACAGAGTCCTTTTTGTTTGTTTACATCCTACTATTTGTGTAACATTCTGAAATAATGACTTTTTTTTTTTCTGAATTTTAGCCATTCACTTCTGCTTTATCAAAAATCTAGAGGAATGAAAAAGAAATTCGTTAGGAACTGTTGTTTTGAGTAAGTGGGGAAACCTAAATCCGTGTACTGTAAAGATGTAAGTTTCCCAATTTTGGACACTTATATTGGTGAACAAGATATGAAGACTCTGAATTCTTCTAATGAAGACCATTTTACAAACAACAGAAGCTGTTGCTTGTAATTCAGAGTGATTTTTCCATTTAGCATTATTGAATTAATCAGTGCTAACATTTAATAAGGTCTGTCTCCATAGTGTTATGGCAGTGTCACTGGTGTTTTTGTTAAGGATGATCTGTTGGTACTTGAAAGACATTTCAGACTTTATTTAAGCTGCCATAATTTTGTACAACATTGTAATGCCCTTGATCATTGTTTTTAGGTATTCACTGAAATCTGTGTGTTTAGCTTAAAGCAACATAGCCGTCCTAGAAGAAAAGCTTTGAAACTGTGTCAAATCACTGCTTTTTGCCATGGTCAATGAAGTAGTTACTCAACCTGAGTAGCTACTGTGGCTCAGTTGATGAGTTGTAACTCATAAAACTTGTGAGTATGAGTCATTGTGTGCATATTGAAGTTCTGTGATTTGTTTATGCTGGACACCTGTTGTGGTAGGTTACTGTAAGGTTTCTGCTAGAATAATGGAAGTCAGTGCTGTTGAGATCCTCTCTTTTGCTTTATAACCCCTCTGTCATCCAAAGCGTTGTCTAATGTGCTGTTGGATTGGTTTAAACCTCAGTTAGGCAAATGGTGGTTTTTTTGTTTTTTTTTGTTTTTTTTTTCCCAAGAGTTTCTCATAAAAGTCCAAGCTTGTGCAATTTCTTCCTGGAAAAAAACAAAACAAAACAAAAACCAACAAAACAGAAAAATCGTGATTACTGTAGAGCAAGTGAATGGAATGAACTTGCTTAAGAGAATTTGGCATTGTATCTTTAGTCTTAAGGCTAGAGATGATGTAAAATGTATAATTTCTGTGCTAAGCATTGTGTAGTCAGTGCCTTTTCCCAAGCCCACAAGTATCAACTGTTTGCACTAAACCTTGGAAGATCACTATATCTGGAACGCTGAGGTCTTAACTATTCCTGTTTTACTTCTCTTCTTAATGCTGAATTCCTTGAAGCTTTGAGTTGTGGCAGGATGCATTTAAGTGGCTTTCATGAACACGGGAACTGCTTTAGCTGTGTATTTTATCACCTCTGGTCTTTTCATTACGTTAAGCGCATGAGGCTTGTACCTGTAGGTATTTAAAACTGATTAAATTCGAAGCTAATGTAATTAATGACACAAGCAACTTTACTAAAGATTGTAGACTGTTGGCCTTCAGCACACATTTGTCTTATCAGGGCTTTGGTTTTTTGCCCTTGAAAACTGCCTGCTGTAAGGCCACCATCCACATACATGCACACATCAAAATCAGAGTGCTACTGTAAAAGCAACAAGCTGCTTGTTTTCCGAATGTAAGAAAACACAACGTTTGGAATATGCCCGCGTTCTTTTTAACTTCATTGTTTCTGTTCATTACCAGCTCCTGTAGTCTCAGTGGAAGTTTCTGTTTCCGGCTGATCGCAGAAAAATTACTTATTGCTCAGTAGTTCTTTGGTATTGACACTGGTTTTATTTAATAATTTGGAAATGATTATGTTTTTATCTGTTTGACAGCCTTGTTGGGAACAAAAAAATCTAAAATATATTCAATAGAAGTTAAAAAAAAAAAAAAAAAAAGGTGGGAAGGAGAGAAGGGAAGGGGGCAAGAAAAGAATAACAACTTAGATGAGTAAGACTTAAATTTAAGTGGAACTTCAGTGCTGTTGCACATGTTCTGTGCTGTTGGAGGTCTCTGCACAGGACGTTATTTCTGTTATTTTAAAGTAAGTATTTTTAAAATGAGAATGAAGTAAGTAGATGCTATAGCTATCTACCAATTCTGAGATGTAAGCACCGTGGGACTACTGGTAGTTACAATGTGAAATAGTGCTGTTGGTGAGATACTGTTGAATATTTAAATAATAGTAATAATAAAATATTAAAACTAGAAGATGCAGATGCCACAATTGAGACCAGAATGAGTAGAGAGTAAAAAGCATTTCTCCTGTCCACTGAGTGGTTGCCAGTCCTTTGTGTAACCTTCAGTTATCAGTCTGTATGCTATGGATATTAGTTTGGGCTTGCAGCCAATATGGAGTGAGATAAATGTAAAACTTGTATTTGTTTTACCAAAATGAGTTTGTTTAATCTGTTTTTTCTTTTTTTTCTTTTTTTTTTTTTTTTAATTAACTACTTAAATGGTTGAAAGTCCATTGAATATTCACAGCTATTAGTTCAGTAAAAATAAAACAAAAATTCTTTTAGGCCCTAAGTAGTCTTACATGCTTGTTTTTGTATCTACACCTGTATAAAATGCTTTGGGAAATATTTAGCTGTGCAGCAGCTGCAGAATTTGTGGATTAGAATAGAATTCCCTTTATAAATAGAAGGCAGTGGCAGACTTCAGTTTACCAGAAGCTAATATACCTGGCTAGCAGCAGATTTGCCTTCTAAATAGGCCAGCTGCATGGCTGGAGCATGGAAAACTATGAAAGCTTTCAACCTGCTGTTTTGAACATTGATGTGGCATCAATGTGTGTATTATTTAAACTAGTAAAATAAGAGCATGCAGATATTTACTGTGAAGAGCATTTATCCCAGTTGATTGTGGACAGTTTTTGTTTGTTCTCATAGTGCTCTATTCCTGGTCTTAGGCTTGAGAAGGAGAAAAGGGAAGACAATAGGTTTGCAAAAGCCAGGTAATGTTGTCTTGTTTAGCTTGGAAAGCTCTCCGTTTCTAAATAATAAGCAAAAGCAGCTTAATTTAGCTGAAATAATGAGCAAAAGGTCATTAGATCAAGCACTTCATTTGTTTGATCAAATTCCATTGAGCAAAGAACCTTCACGCTCTTCACTGTGAAGGTAGGGGCTGCTCTGGTGATACTGCAGGATAATTTTAGTGGTTAAATTACCCCTCTAATGTGAAAGAGGCAAGGCACAAGTTCCATGAACCCTGCCCGTTGTTACAGATGTGCGCAGATAGATTTGCTATAATGATCCTATCTCTTCTGTAGCCTTGTTTCACATTCAAAAGAGGAGCTTCCAAGGAGTTTGCAAGCTGAGGTTGGTGGTGGTGAGGATGAAG